GTGTGGGCCCCCAATCGCTACCGCGTGGTAAGTGGTTCAGCACCCACCACTGGCTCTTTGCTACCTGGGGTATCAGGCAGGGCTTCTTACCATGTAGCCCCTACATAGTATTATATCAGGTGGTCCTCCAGGCCTTCCTTCTTCCAGAATGCCAGTCTTCAAGAACACCAGTCAGACTTCCAAGAAAGGTTTGACTGGTAGACAGGAAGGGTTAATATTAATTAAAAAAATATGTAAAAGCTTCCAGACATGGTCTGGGGTCTGGACACACTCAGACATGTGGCCTGCATTCTCAGCGACTTTTGGAGATGAAGTTTAAATATATTTTTAATTGCATACATTTTAAAAATTTGCATTGAGTAGTTGGGAAATTAGAGCAGTCTCTGAAGAAATATAGTGAGTAAATCAGGTAAAAGCAATAAAATACTATTGGATGACAAAATATCGATACCTGGATTAACCATTCAGTAGCTGAAGACCCCATCAGGGAGGTGCGGGCATTCTGTAAGGTGGACATAGTGAGAGTCTATGGACTGCTAGACAGAGTGAAGACCCTGGCTCACTTGCTTAATTCTCAATTCCTGGCAAGCACTGCTCTGTGGCACCCCTAACAAGCAAGGATCAAACATTCTAGAGGTTCGTATTCACCTTAGGGAAAACCAGGGCTGAGGTAATAGCCCTTCAAATATAACCATGCTCTTAGCTCCTAAAAGAACTGTCACCACTGCCTTCTCAAAGGCCAAAACAGTCACGTGAGCTTTTTCTAATGAGTAAGATTTTGAAATTATTTTTCTGGGCCGCATTTTCACTTCTTCTCTGTGTGGCACGGCCACCCACTCTCTCCTTCTCTCTTTTCCTCTATATCTCACTTTTTTTTTTCTTTCTTGAGAAAATAACTAAATTTTGTACTTTTTTCCTTGCACTTAAAATAAATAAATAAATAGATGAATAAATAAGTAAGTACAATAGAAATTGTTTTTCTATTACTCTTTTCTCTCTCAGGTAAATGATAGCCTTAACAAGAAGCCGGACAAAGGAGAAAATGGAGTCAGGTATGTATATTTCCTCCAAATTTAAGTTATAGCACCACCTTACGGAAGTGGTGCTTACGCGTAATAAAGTCCAACTGTAACAAGGCTATAAAATGAGAGTATGGGGTTTGCCCCAAGAGTGTAAAGCTGGTTTAATATTAGAAAAAGCAAAGCAATCCACCATCATAATAAACTAAATAGGAAAGTCTACATCATCTTATCGATTGATGCAGAAAAGGCATTTGATAAGTTATTCAGCATCCATTCATGATAAAAAAAAA